GAGGGAAACAGAAATGAAAACACACTGAGCATGCTACTTGCAGAAGCAGGTGACAAGCACACAGTGTTTCAAGACAGGATGAGCCATTTATGTACAAACCTGCAGTCTCCATGATAAAGGTGGGTTTGGTGTGGCTTTTATCTTACTTTTGCCTGAGGCTCAATATGTAGCTAAAAATAGCCGTGAACATCTAATCTACCTACCTCTACTTTCTGAGTGTTGGGTCACTCCTGGCTCATAGTGTCCTAGGGATTGAACCCAGAGCTCTGTGCTTGCTGGGGAAGCATTCGACCAACTGAGCTATACCTCCACTCCACGAGGAAGCTTGTAAAGGTTAGAAAACACAATGGTGGCTTACGTGTCCCTGCTGTGTAGTGATCGGCAACTCCCTTTTATTTTGGCACTTACAGGAAGATGCCTGGCCCAGAGACAGGGGCATCTGGATTATTATGGCTCACTGGATGCTTGAGGAGATGGAGGAGATGAAAATCAGAAAGGCAGAACAGCCAAGGTCACAACTAAGAACCAGAAGAGCCCACACAGCCACCCACAACCCTGATTAGCTGTGGGGATACTTTTTTCTACAAGGTAAGGCAAGGACCTTTCCTAACCAATAGGCAAGGGCATCTGAAGGCCCAGAGGTGAGAATACATTCCATTTGAGAGATCCCCAGTTAAGGCTTAGGGAGCATCCATATTCTAATCCCTAGGGTGAGAAGGATGAAACTGACTTCCAGACCTACTGGAATACTATGGCTCCAAGAACAGTGGGCTTGAACATTCCAGGGATGAGCCCAGACATAAATAATAAAGATAACACCACACCAGGGCTACATTCCCTTTCTTCTAAGTTATGTGCTAATAAAAACACCATATGCTCCCCTTGAAGAACTCCAAGAAAGTTTAACTTACACGTCAGACAGCTCCCAGATAAGGGTCTGGGAGCCAGAGAGGAGGAAAGACCCTTGGAAAGGACAAGAGATCAATAGAACTGAGCTAGACACCAACCCTTGTTGGATCTGCAATCTGCACCATTCCTGCCATATACCTAGACACCTCAGCATGGGCTGTTGACTGGCTTTCCATTCTGGATTCTAAACTCCTTTTGGTAAGCAACCTCTGTGTTTTCTAATTCCCAGCAGGTGAGGCTGCAAAGAGAAACCTGGCAGATGAGGCCCCAGTAACATCTACTGACTTGAGCAAGAGTTTGATCTTATGGTCTTCACAGAAGAGGAACAGGTCTTCCACTGGGCCTTTACCAGACACAGTGGGCTTGGGCTGCAGGCTGCCATGGCAGCATACTAAAAGGAGTTCTGAAAATGAACTTCATTAGTTCCCACTCACTGAACCCCTGCCACAAATCACAAAGAGTATGTGAGTTGCTAAGCAGGTTTCAAGGATTAGCCTCATTATCTACAGCAATTCAGGGGGACATAGATTGTCATGGATATCTTATGAAACTATCCTTGGGACCACAACAAAGCAGGGTGACTTACTATCCCAAGTGATTAGGTTACATATGACAGGACCAGCCTGAAATTGTATGACACACTCCAAGCCCAGGCAACACTTGCTTGTCATGGCAGTGAGCAACTGAGAAGACACGAGCATCTATACATATTGAAAGGAGAATGGGAGAGTTCTCTAGAGAGGAAGTTTCTAGAAATAAGAGTGAGCTTCTACCTCCACTTCAGCATGGCCCCATGGAAGAAGCCACACAAGAGGCACAGAGGAAAAAAGCCCAGAAGGAAAATATCTGAGCCAGGACATCTGGGTTGCAAAGGTCTTCAGTGTATAGAACCCCAATCATTCTATCTTTTTTTTTCTGCTAAGGAAAAAAGAAAATAATTTCTCCTGTCACCTGAATCAGCAAATAGCAGCAAAGGCGCTGGCTGGCCTCCCAATTCCACAGCTTGTCTGGGCTGAACTCTGACATTTCCATCACTGATCTTAGGGGTTCTCACTGTCTCCAGAGGGATCTGGGTTCCCACAAACAAATCCATCAGCTGCCAGTGGCCAGGGCAGCAGCCTGAGCAACAGAGGGGGTGCTGGGCAGGGGCTCAGGTAACAAACAGCCCTTTACAAGGACTCACGATGGAAAACAGCCTCTCACTCTGCATCAGTTCAAAGACTGAGACACCCTGCTCACTCTTATTTCTAGAAACTTCCTCTCTAGAGAACTCTCCCATTCTCCTTTCAAATTGAAAAACTAAGAATGTAGAAAATAAAATAAAAACATCTCACCTGTAACTCAAAAATACTGCAGAAGGGACTTCAGAGCCAAGAGGTAGAAAAAAAAAAAGTCAAATATTCAAGATAATGCTCAACAAGAGCTTGCAGGAGAATGGGCTCCACACGATTGAGTATTGCTTTGATGACTCGTGAGCTTCTTTGGAGCACTTTAAGGACCAAGAGTAAAGGAATGAGAAATAGAGTAAGGGGTGGGGGCAGATATTCGAGCTGGGGTAAGCAGCACTGTGCAGCCCCTGCGTAACCCCAGGAGACAGAACTGCCCAGAGGTTATAGCGTTGATACCTGCATGGAGAAGATTCCAGGTACTCCAGCTGTAGCAACCTGAAAGATTCTGCAGAGCCTATGATCTATGCGGGAACACTAGCAACCCTGAGGACAGAGGGAGGGCAAGACAAAGGCCTGTATCTTGAAGCATGTAATGAAATAATATTTGTTACGATACATTATAAAGATATTTATGCATTAATGAAGGCTATTGTGAAATTTAATTTTAATGATCTGATAATTAAGCAAAAAATTCCACAATAATTACCATATCTTAATTTTATAACATATTTGCTAATGGCAATGTTATATTTTTCAGAAAGATTATACTAATTCTTCATAGGTAGCACCTTCTCATGTCTTTGGATATCTCTTAAAGCTAAGTCGGGAGGGATGCCCAGTGCCTTGGGAGGCAGCCTGAGCTACTGTGTACAGCTCGTACCACAGGCCAGTAGATGAGGTGTAGATCCAGTAAATGCCCTGAAACTCAAGGCAAGACCTGGCCCTACCCACAAAAGGACATACATGAAGGGCTTGTCTGTGGATACATACACATACAGTAAGAGCAGAGGAGTACAGACATGAATGGTGCCACCACTTTCAAAGAGTCACCCTGGGGAGGAAGTGAGAAGGCTGGGGGTGCTACTTAATTGTTCTTTCTGTGGTTTACTTCTCCCAACATTTCCTTTTGAGATTTTTTTTTAAATACAAAGCTTAAAGAGAGCAGTGCATAAGGTGGGTTCATCGCTACCCACTCCTCCGGCTTCATAGAGTCCATTAACTCCAGTGATTTGCAATGCACTTCAGACTGCTGCCGGGGTCATGCCCCAAGCCCAGACTCCTTTGCGTGTGTGTTTATTTTTAACTGTGGCTCGACACTGGTTTCCATGTATTCTTTGGATGTGCAGTCAACATACTCTGAGTTTTAAAGGAAAAAGATGTTCATGTAACCCAAACACTGACCAAGTTACCAGATCAGACTATCACATGGAAAACTATCTTCTTCCCTTTCCAGGACAGAGGAAACCCATGTTGAGACTCTCCTAACTGGAGACTGTTTTTGTTCACTCTAAGAATTCATAGAAATGGTGCCACCACACAGCAGGCTCCATGGAGAACGCTGTTTTTATGACCCATCAAACACTTGGGCATTTTGTGGTTTTATTGCCGGGAATGCCTCTCCTTGTAGAAAACACTACCATCTTCCCAGCCCCTTAACTTATTTGGTGAGCTATTGTTTTGCATATGTATGCATGCGGCAAGTGTGCATGCATGTCCACATGTATGTGGATGCACACACATGTGGGGTGGCTCAAGGCTGATGTCTGGTGCTTTCTTCAATCAATCTGCATCCTACCTGTTGAGGCCAAGTGTCTTGCTAACCCTGAAGTTCAGCTTATGAGCTGGTGAGCTAAGTAGCTCAGCAGGAACTTGGGAGGGGGTCCCTGCCTCTACTTCCTGCATACTAGAATTATGGGTAGGCTGTTAAACCTATCCAGGTTTTACACAAGTTCTGGGAATCTGAGTGCCAGTTCTCACATGTGGCATAGTGGGTTGAAAGGAAATGGCCCCCAAGGGAGTGGCACTATTAGGAAGTGTGCCTTTGATGGAGTGGGTGTGGCCTTGTTGGAGGAGGTGGGGAGGAGGGGGCACACACAGTTGCTTCTGCTGCCTACAGATCAAGATGTGGAACTCTCAGTTCCTTCTCTAGCACACATCTGTTTACACGCTGCCATGAAGATAATGGACTAAACCTCTGAAACTGTAAGCCAAACCCAATTAAATGTTTCCTTTATAAAAGCTGCTGAGGACATGGTGTCTATTCAAAACAACAGAAACCCTAAGACACATCATGGCAAAGCCATCACCTGCTGCGTTATCTCCTCTGCCCCACACTCTGATTTTGTTGTTGTTGATGCTGCTGTTTTAATAACCAATGTTGAACAGCAAGGGCAAGTGTATGTCTGTCATTATAAGGAAGTGTGGTGACTTTGTCCCCGGTGGCTGCAGCATTCCCTATCAAACCAGCATGAGAGCTCCAGGCATTCTGCACCCTCCCCAGTGCTCCCTCAATGTCTTTTTCATCTCCCTGTTCTGATGAATGTGCAGCAGCTTCTCCCTGTGAGTTTTGTATTTGCATTTTCCGCTGACTAATAATACCAATGTCAGCTATTTGGAAGAAAGAAAGGTTTACTCTTTAAAATAAGACAGAGACAGGAATATGTAAACAGATCTAGAACAAACATGGGGTGGGTGGGGGCTTAGATCTAAGACATAGGCGTGTTAGTTTGTTATTGCTGAACCTGGGGCCTCATGCATTAAATATAAAAATGCCATTCCATCTACATACTGGACTAGAAGACCTGGCCTCTTGGTGTGAGGAGAGGTTCAGAAGAGGGTAAGGAGGGGCTCTGCATCTTCCCTGCATCACCAAGCTCTGCCCACCTGGGTCCTGGTGTTACTCCGTCTCTGTAGGACACTTACCGCTGGCACTCACTGGGATGCAAGACAAGCTCAGAGTTGTTCCTGGCACAGACTGTGAGCTCGTGCTCTGTGGAGTTGAAGACATCGAGGAGGAGGTGGCACTGCCGGGTGCTGCATGGAAAGACAGAGGAAGTTCAGAACCCTCCAATAGCAACGAGAAGCAACTCAACCCTTTCATCCTCTCCAGGGACTTCCTTCCCACTATCTGAAGATGTGCAGTTTACAATAATGCCAAAATCTCTGGTCATGGGCTGAGAACTTTGTCATACCCTTTATGAACCAAATTACCTTGAAAAATTAGCTCAATTCTCCAAGACTCAGCAAGTGGCAAGCAGCTGGCCCTTAAGACCATCTATTTACATGGTATACAGTGTATAAGGGCTCTGTCCAAATGAGGAAGTCTTTAGCTACCCAAGACTGAAAAAAAAGGTCTGGGTGCTGGAATAGGAAGAACTGGGCTGACTTCTCTGTAAGCTTCATATTCTAGGACTCCAAATTATCTCTCTTCAGAGATGGGGCAGATAGTAGAAGTTTCTGGGCACTTGATGCCTCCCCTCCCTTTGCTTCCTGCAGGGTAAGAAGTAAAGTTCTCAACTTCTAAAGGCTCCATATAGCAGGGGGTACTCCCAATGGCAATGTCTCCACCAATGAGTCACAGGCTTCTCAGACATCAAGTAACAAAGTTGAGAGGAGGTTTCTAATCTTCAGCCTCCCCAGCTTTCCATCCTTTCTTAGAATGATAAGGGGGCCTTGAAGCTGGCAACCACTCAGAGATGAGAACCAAACCATAGGCTGTGAATGGCAGGCATGGGCCAGAAGGAGCTGGAAAACCAGGCACCTCCTACAGCAGCAATGCCCCACTCCCATCGTCTCCTCCCTATAGACTTACTAGCGACAGAGAAATACTTTAAAAGTACCAACAGTCAATGCTTCCTTTGTACTGATCACTGCAGTTAAGTTTCCATTACAGTTGAGTACTTGCCTAAAACTAACACAGCTTCCCAAATACCAGGTGTCACGATGAACACATGACAGGAAATCAATACCTGCTGGCTGATCTCAAAGGGACAGCCAATGGCCACTGCAAGAGCAGAGTAAGAGGGCAGCTGTGCTGGCCTTGGGGAAACAGGATAAACTGGCTGTCTTGGAAGAAAGGGAGAGACAGGTACAAAGAGCTGCTCTCGGGGTCATCTCTAGATCTGTGTGCAATCAAAGCAGGACCTCTAGGAGACATCTGACTTCTCTGGGGTGTCCCCAAGCAGGAGGTTGGTTGGTTATTTGGAAAGCCAAGTCAAAGGAATAGAGAGGGTTGTAGGATTCTGCCTTTGTGTCCAGACACTTCTGGGAGGGCAGAACAGTGGGGAGGAGGCTAGAGAGACAGCCGGGTGGTGGCCGAGTCTACAAACTCAGAGCTCAAGTTGGTTTGCCTTCACAGTCGGTAGACTGCATTGATCACACCTGTCCTCTGGGCTCGCTTGAGAGAAGGAAACATAGACACAGGGGGCTGTGGGAACATGTCTAGGGTTCATACACATGCAAAGCAGACACTGACCAGAGGCCAGGGGGTGCCACGGAGCTGTCTTTCCAAGCACAATGGGCTTCTCAAAGAAGGGAGACAAAGGCCCAACATCACCACCTCTGGTACAGACAGTGCCAATGTAGTGTCAGAGGTCTTCAGAGGATATCCTCATGTCAGCTGATGCTGGGGCTTGGGAACAAGGGTGTCTTCCCCAGGGCTAGTGGCATCTGGAACATGCTCAGTTCTGACAGCTATCTATAAACAGACTCTTCCCTTAGCTCCTAGGCAAAGGAGAGTCCAGGAATGAAGACATGACAGGCCTTTGTCATAACTTCAAGAAATCTTTAACCACAGTGAAATCTTTCATCAGAGAAAGACAGTCACAAAACATTAATGGGGATGGGGTATAAGGCCAGTTTTTAAAACCTAAAGGGCTGCTTACACTAGGAGAGCACCACAGCACCGTGCCTGGGAAGCCGCATAGGAACGTGGTGAGGGTACACTGTGCATTGCTGTTCTAAGTCACTGTCTGTATGGGACATCAGAGCCACTGTTTCCACCGCTTCTGTCCACCTGATGACATATTAGTGGATCTTTGTTTTCTATCTGTTACTCATAAATTAATTCCCATCTCAGACCTTGGTAGAATTTTGTGCCCACCATAACATCATTTACTCCTATGTCTTTTGGCATCCTTAGGGTCAATTTTCTTTATGAGCTATTGGAACACATAATTTACTTCTCATTCTTGTTCAGCTCTTGGTTTTTGTTTGCTCTTTTGGATTCACCTTTCTGAAGAGGAGGGAAGCCTAAGAGATTTTCCCCCAAAGAACTGAAGTCAGAGCAAGCTTTTGAGGGCAGATAAACCTGCACGGAAAGTGTAGATACAGGTCTATGGCCAAGGTTGGCAAATGGGGAAGAGAAAGTTCAGCTGCCAGAGGCCATACAGTTTAGCAATCAATTCTGCTAACAGACACATGGGTCTCCCCTGCAAGTCAGCCACTACTGCACGAACACAGTTGAGAAAGGGAGGTGGGGGAAAAAAGATAGGATCTCAGCTTTCTTGCAAATTGAATTTGGAAGAGGGGGTTAAAACATTGTAACAATCTTTTCCATGAAGTTAAAAGCAACAGATTAAAAAAGGTTGCAGGATGAAGCTTCACAGTATTGGTGACATTTCTTTTCTTTCTTTTTCTTTTTTTCGGAGACAGGGTTTCTCTGTGGCTTTGGAGGCTGTCCTGGAACTAGCTTTTGTAGACCAGGCTGGTCTCGAACTCACAGAGATCCGCCTGCCTCTGCCTCCCGAGTGCTGGGATTAAAGGCATGCACCACCACGCCCGGCTATTGGTGACATTTCTATGTATTAACTGAAGATAGTTACAAGGAGAAACATTTAAGAATGTAGATATATAAATGTGATGCAGCCCAGGAAGCATTTGTGAATAAATATATAATACATTTATGAAAAGTATTTAATTTTTTACCAAAAAAATTAGTAAAGCGGTCAATGAATACAGAGATATTTTATGCTTGAGGATAAGAAGATAATATTTTAAAAGAAGTCACAATTCTCCAAATCTACATGAATTCAATGAACCCTAAACAAAAAGAGGGACAACCACGTTCTAGTTTTAGTAAATTCTTATTGGTATTTTAAATTATGTAAGTTAAAAAAGTGTCAAGAACACACAAAACAATGATGAATCTGCTAGACATCAAGAAATCTTCTAAAGCATAAACAATGGAAGACAGCCCAGAACATGTCTCAGAGCTGGGGACTGGAGGTCTGACTAAGAGGGGATGCTCTCAAGGAGAAGATTCCAGAAAAGGCCTGGGTAGCATTGGCATATGAACAGGAAACCATATCCCTACCTCCCTAAGGTTGTAAGTCAGTAAACAAATCCTGAGAGACAAGCTATGCAGGAAACCCTAAGAACAACGTTTCCATGAGTTTTGGTGACACAGCTGTTCTTGGGGCACTGGTATCGCTGTAAGCAACCCCATTCACTAAGCTAGACTTGAGTGGAACATTTCTTTGTTCTGTCATCAGTGACCTATCTGTGGTGAATAGATGTTTGCCACTGTCCAGAAAGTCATGCAACACTACCTCAAATTTACTTAAAAATTAAAAAAAATTAAGACATGCAAACAGCTTATGAGAAACGAAAAGATTTCACAAATGAGTTATGACATATAAAATATAATAAAAGAAAGACAGAGTGTTTGGCCATGTTAAAATTAGGAATTTTGGAATGAATGGAAGCCATTTAAAAGCTAAGACAAGCGCCTTGTGGAAAGGCATTTGCAGTGTATTAAATTGACAATAAATCAGGATTATTTATTATTATTATTATTATTATTTCATGGAGAATTTCCATAAATCAGTAAGAAATGACTCAGTAAGAAACCAAGCAAAGGGTGTGCAGTAACAGTCAAAACTGGAGGAAATCCAATGGGCAGTACACAGATATTCTATCAAGCTAGCATCCAGAGGAAGAAATCAAACCCTAAGACACTATTTCCCACTCAACTTAATGGAAACATTTAAAAAGTGTTCCAGGAGCAAGTGTTGGCCTAGATGTTCCTCAACAAAAAGTAAGGTGTAAATAAATTGGTACAACTTCCTAGAAGGAAGGAAGGAAGGAAGGAAGGAAGGAAGGAAGGAAGGAAGGAAGGAAGGAAGGAAGGTCAGGGTTATGTTCTTGAACGATGTATAAATACACTTAGACCTGACAATTCCATGTCAGTATGTACTAACTCACAGGGCTCCCACAAGGGCTCCTCTTAACTAGGTGAAAACCAACAGGAAACAGGATGGAACAGGATCCTGGGGCTGTGGGTGTCAGAACCTGTGCAAAGGAGGAAATGAGCTTACAAGAATAGCCTCCCTTGTCCTGCTGTGGTGGTTTGAAAAAGAATGGCCCTCACAGGCTCAAATGTTTGACTGCTTGGTGCCCAGGTGGTAGGACTTTGGGAAGGATTAGGAGGTGTGGCCTTGTTAGAGGAGGTGTGTCACAAGGGGTGGACTTTGAGATTTCAGAAGCCCACGCCAGTCCCAGTTAATCCATGGTTATGGACCAAGATGCAAGCTCTCAGCTATTGTTCCAGTGCCTGCCACCTGCTGCCATGCTCTCTGCCATGGTGATGACAGACATGAACCCTCTGGAACTGTAGGACCCAAATAAACCCTTCTAAAAGTTGCTTTGGTCAAGATGTCTTCTTACAGCAATAGAAGACACATGGATATATCCTGTGCTAATGATGCCAGGGAAGTAAGTTGCAGGAGTTAACACATACACTATACATGCAGGAGTTAACACATACACTATACATGCAGGAGTTAACACATACACTATACATGCAGGAGTTAACACACACACTATACATGCAGGAGTTAACACACACACTATACATGCAGGAGTTAACACACGCACTATACATGCAGGAGTTAACACACGCACTATACGTGCAGGAGTTAACACACGCACTATACATGCAGGAGTTAACACACACACTATACATGCAGGAGTTAACACATACACTATACATGCAGGAGTTAACACATACACTATACATGCAGGACTTAACACGC